CAAAAAAAAAAAAACAGCTCTATCTGTGGTTTTTAGCCCGTGATTTTTTTAAAACTCATCCAAATGAAAATTACCATTCTACATAAAAGTTTTGTTTTTCAATGTACTTTTCGAAAAAAAATTCAAAAAAATTATTTAAAGTGTCTTAATACGTAATTTTTTATTTTTAAACTTTAAATTGCATTTTTTAAAGTGAGTGAATATTTTGATTTTCTTCAAAATTTTGTACAGCAAACTACTACTACTTCCACAACTTTTCAGGTCAGTCTTGCCGTAGGCCTTCGATAACTACTATTTTTTACGAGTTTTGAAAATTAAAAAAAAACTCTTTTTTATTTTATTAAATTTTGTCATTTATTTCTCTCTTTTAATGTATTTGAAACACTTTACATATTACAAAGTTGTGAAAAAACCATGTATGTCGCAACAGTTTTCTAAAATCTAAAAATTGGTATACAAGTTTTTAATAATGGGAAAAATAAAAAAAACATAGTCAGCCTAAATTTTTATTTAATATACGCCGTTAGCAGTCGATACAAAAGCGCGCCGCGCGCGAAATGGGAATTCGTTCGTAATACTCTAGGAGCTCGCCTTTTTCGGTGGAGCGAGTTGAAGGAAGAAGCGTCTTAGTTTCTGGTCCTTACGACCTCTTGGATGTTTTATGCCATGGTTTTTCCCTCCAGGCAGAACGAACTTAAACTCCGGGTGAATACCAGGTCGATTTGTGGTGTAGAGGATGCCATGGCAGTGTATGTCGCCTCTATGCTGACTGGGAATTACAAACACTATTTGATGCTGTATACATCCAACATATCAAAGATATATCAATCACATCTAAACTACAAAACCAAACAATTAATTTCATATTTTAGTTACCATAAGCAACAAGTTTTATTTCTTTAAATTGAGAACTTGCTTACTGTGTAATATGTTATGTATTATATGTACACAATAATAAAACGTAAAATAATTTTTGAATGTGGTAACAATATTATGAAATAATAATAATAATATTATAACAAACAAATAATAAATAAACCTTACAATTATTCTACACCTGATATTTTGCATTCGTCTCAGTCTCTCGAAACTTAATTTTATGAAGGTTACGCTTCTAACACGTGTGATCTCCACACATGTTTTTTCTGTCCGAAAGACGAGCAATCCGTAATACATGCTTGCATAAACAATTACAATTGGAAAAAAAGGGCGCTCGCAAGCAACATTTACAAGTTTGCGTGGAAAGTAACATAATGATACAAATTTAATTTTAATTTTTTTATTAGTTTATGCATATTTGTAGAATAATATTTAGTATCTTATATAAAAAAGAAATATTAAAAAAATGAAATTAATCAAGGCTAGACATTGATAACTACGAAGCAGAGCATAAAAAGGAGACCGAGAATAGGAAAAACTTAATAGCTATATACTGTCTCATTCTTTCGCAGGCTCAATCCTATATGTTGGTCTTTTTTTCTCTTCTTACTTAGTATTGTGACCGCTGCATCGCTGCAGTGTTTAATTTTTTTAAATCACCCCCAATCTGAAGAAGTTCAGTAGTCATAAAGTCAAGTCATAAAGATATGATTTTGAGTGAAGATATATGGTTTTAGTAGTTATTTTAATGTGAATTTTATATCGGATACAGCACTCTCTTTGATTAAATTCCTAAACTCTAAATTAAATTAGGAAATATGCAAAAGTAGCACGGAAGAAAAAAGATCAGAAACAGTAATTGACGCTGCACTTTAAAGATATATTAATACAATCCAAACAAAAACATTTATTTCATACATTAGTCACCATAATGTACTCGTATCATTTCTTGAAACTGAGAACATGGAATCGGTCTAATATGTTATGTAGTATATGCAGAATGAACGGTAAAATAATTTTAAAACCTTTTAATAATATTATAATAAGTACACCCTATTATTAAACTATTTCTGATTCTCTACACTCGTCTCATTCTCTCAAAGTTTAATAATCTTTCATATTTAACTACATTATCAAAATTTGGAATGTCTAAAATGTTTTTACTATTCATTCATGTCTTAAAAAGAATAAAAAAATTTGACGACGATGCTATTATGTCTAATTGAAGATCCTTTATATGGACTTATAAACTTTGGTAGGTAAAGGTAGAACGTGAAAACCCTTCCAAGTATTAAAAGTCAGATCGCAGTTAAATTGTGGATACTGTTGCTCTTCGAACATGATAAAATTTTCTGCTGCACATTTTTAAATTTAATTTTGTGTTCAAGAATTCAATCAAAGGAAGAGTAGTATCCAATGAAGAATTGACATTAAAATCACAATTTAAGATCATTGGAAATTTATCGTAATATTTTTTTTGCACTTATATAAATTCTCGCTAATAAATTCAATAATTGTATTTATTGATTGGTTAGGAAAAATATAAATTACCAAAAATATAACAGAAGAATCATGGTCCAAACTGGTTAGACAAGCATATAAATCTCCTACTTTAGAAAACTGACCAGACAGTAATAGCAGTTGTTGTTCATTAATATCTATATGTGGAGTAATAACACGGGCTTCGTCATTTAAATTATGATAGATTGCAACTCCGCCTGATCTCATATGTGGCCTCTTATATTGAACAWCAATTTTAAAATTTTGAATGTCTATAATGTCTTCATTATTCATCCATGTCTCAGAAAGAATTAGAAAATTCGAGGACGATGCTATTCTGTCTAATTAAAGATCCTGTGCATGAGCTCGTAAACTTTGGCAGTTAAAGGTGAACAGTGACAACCCTTTAGTTTTATTTATAAAATTATATAATAATTTATTAATAGTTTTTAATCGATTCATGTTCAGCCTTTCAAACTCAGAACGCAATTCAGCTGTCGATACTGTTACCCTTCGACCATGATAAAATTTTTTGTCATTCTTTTTGGAAACGAGATGTAAGCCCTGCATCGATGTTACTCATGATAGTGCAACGTACAGTAGCTGTTGAGCGTGTGTCTTGTCATATTCATATACAATCTCATTAAATGTACCTCCCTGAGACTTACGAATTGTTATCGCACACGAAGAAACCAATGGGAAATGGTTACGTTTTACAATAACTGTTTCATTAGGTACCAATTGAATAGAGCATGTTCTGCGATTAATTGGAACTGCAGGGGGACAAAGATTGTTCCTGTGTATTAATGACGCTGCCTTTCTTCTGATTTTTTCTCCTATTTTGGGACATGCAGGGAATTCTAATTATAATCGACAAATCTCTCCTTTCTCATTATATTCGATAAAAATCAATTTTCCTGTAACACCATCCGCTAATCTATCTGATATGTCGATATTATTTGTTATTATATATGGTTTATTGACAACAAATGTAATTTCATAAGGCAAACCTCCTGTATCAACAGTTGTCATTTTGTGTAATTTTAAACGCATAGAAGTTTGCTGTTCAACAATGCGACAACCAATATATGCATCAGTTGCTTCTAAAAATAACTTTTTGTGCTGAAGAATTTAAAACTTTATTATTGTATTCAGTAACTGAATTATAATGGAAGAACAATCGTATCTCGTCTGAACAAATTTATATGCTTTTTCTTCGAAATAAATTCTTGAATCATGTAATTGCAACTTGTTATCGTCCAAGATATTTGGAACGAATTTGCGTAGACACTCTTCGATTGAAGAATACTCAATAATACAATTATTGTTTTATTAGAATATATAGTACAAGTCACAGCATCTTCATTGAATACCGTGGAAATTTCAGCTCCCTTATTTTTTAATTTGTACTGTAATTTTAGTAAATTATTCCATCTGATTTCATTAGCACTTAAAATAGGAAACATAGTAGGTTTTCCCAATTGTCGTATCATCACAAAAAGATCTTTTTTTCGTTTGTTCCAATACCAAACACAAATATGTATTAATCGTAGGAAAGCTAAACTACTTTCAATAAAATTATTAATATACTCGCCTGATTCAATCTGCTGAAGTGTAAT